CTCACGCACCTCGCTCTTCTAGCGGGTCCATCTTTACGAGTTGTTTTCCGCAATTGCGGTCATAAAAACAAAACAAGCCTGCCCCGGGATTGAAATTGTTTACCAGATTTATGTGATGGAAAGGATCTGTTTTTCCCTCCAATTAGAAAAAGAAAAATTTTATAAGATTTGGTCCAAATGGACTGAGTACGTGAAACCAATTAGATCCGACTTCATTTGATTGTTCTTCTGATGTACGTCTTTGCCCTTTTATGTCTTTGTGGTTTTTATTACTCGAGGCGGTGCGATCCCCATTACTGTTTAATTCTGTTCATTCTTTGTTATCTTTACAATGAAGTTACTGATATTCTGTTAAAAAATACCAGAAAGGCAACATGGAAAAAAATCACTTGGACTTTCTGCTTATATCTTCAGTTATAATCTTAAATGGATGAAGCTGTGATTATTGATGTCATGGAAATCTGACAAAACAACAACAAAGAAACAAGCCGGCCTCCCGTCTGTGGGAGGCGAGGAGGTAAGTGGTCCTCCTAACTGTCAATCATTCTGGTGATATGTTTACGTAAGGCCGTCCTAGCTGCTCGTCCCCAGTTAGCCGTCTTTTTCTGTGCATGTGAACTTTTCAGTAGTGAATTACGGTTTCAGACAGTCATTGCTCACCATTTCTTTGAAAACGGCTGAGGGGTCATAAGAGGAAAAAGTGTCTACGAAGTTTAGGAGAAGAAAAGGAAGGCCTCAGAAGAGAGAAACAGGAGCAGAGCGTTTTTGGGAGATTCTTTCACGTGATGGCGTGCACTGAAATCACAGGTTAGCTTAGCAAGGATGCTTCGGTTCCAAAGTTTCTACTCGACAGGAAAAGTTGACATCACTGCTATTAAACTAGTAGAAATGGGCTCATGCACGCTTAATAGACGTTCCCTCTCGGGAGCGGGTACAGGGTTGTGCATGTGCATTTTTTTTTAAAGTGGAGAAGTATTTTGAAAAATATGCGAAAATCCTCTACTATACCTTCCGTCAGACACTTCCGTCATTGTTATTTCATGGATAAAGTTTTAAATTGAATGAAAACCTTTTTTCCCCTCACTGAACAGTGGTGAGATCAGAGGGAGAAGCTGCCTGACTCCGCCTACCCGTCGGGCCTTTTTGGTGGGTTTGCTGATGCTGCGTAACAAGCTGTGTGCCAGACGCTCGTTTAAGCCGTGCGTTGATGGATCGGCCAGCGGCTCGGTGAGCTGTGAGCAGGATAGGAGCTGCAAAACAGGCAGAACCAGAACCGGACTGGGCCAGGGCGACCACTCCTCCTCTCCAGGGGCTAAAGTCAGCGCTGCAGAAAAGAAAAAGATTCTTTAGAGACAGACCCAAACCTTTAGAACCATTGTGACTGTTGGACGACATTAGGAGTCGGGGTGAAAGCAGCTTTCGATTCTTTTTTGGTACCATATAAGAAAATAAACCGGCTTATAGTTTTTTTCTTAAACCCTGCTTGCATCTTAAAATGTTGGATTTTTGGGGGCATAAATCAGCTATGTTACACTTTAGTATAATTATAGGCTTAGACTGCTGGAGGACATAGGGACCCCTTTTTCATC